CCCCAAAACCCCAAAATCCCAAAACCCCAAAACCCCAAAACCCCAAAACCCCAAAACCCCAAAGGAGAGAGATTTAATTGTTGCATAAAAACTAAATATGACAAAATTGTCACTATAATTCAAACTTGGCAGAATTTCAAAAATTTAAAATAATTTCATTCTTTTTCAAATTTGAATGGCAGAAATCATTAATAAGTTGTCCCAGGTGACTAGTTGTTGGTGGTTCTTATCGTACATGAAGGGTGTAACCAGAATTGCTATATAAATACTCAAAAATTAACAAACTTGCTCAATAATATTAGAGATTCTGTGCTAATTTATTTAGAATACTGATGCTACATGTTGAAGAGAATCCATTATGTTCTTATAAGATTACATCATAAAATTTGAATATTATCTGGCAAGTGCCCTTTTAGTTATTTATGCTTGGGCTACTCTTTTCTCCAACCTCGGAGGACTCTCATTGTTTATTTTATTTAAGTCTGTACTAAATTTGTTGGACTTATCCTTATCAATAACTGGGTGAAATTTGCCAGTTGCTCCTCCTAAACAATGCTTATTATTTCTCATAATACTAGGGTCATAAAAGTATTTGGTCATTGAATTCCTTGCATCTGAAATAGAAGAGAGGGAGATTTCACCGTCGCTACTCTCATAAACCTCCGTTTCTTCCTTCTTTTCTTCTTCCTTAAAATTCTCAGATCACTTAGTTTTCTCAGTTTTACTCATGATAGACTTGGCCTTGATTCCTTTAGTTTGGAGGTAGAATAGAATCTGTGTCCGGATTGATTTCTCCTCTTTGGACTCGATCTCGTGGTCGAATTCTAAAATAAATTATAAGAGGGTATATTAATGCAGACTTTAGGAAAATTTTGTCGGTCAATATAATTCTTAAAGACTTCTAACAGTTATTTGGTGAAATTTATTGGAATTTTGGGTGAGAGTTACCTGGCAAGTACAAATCATCGTTCTTTATAAAAATTTCTGTTCGTTTCGGTGAATTCTATGAGAGTTTTGGTCGTGAGCATAAATGCTCTTCTTGAATTCTCTATCGTGCTTATCTTTGGGGTTGGCACTCGAACTCTTGAATGGTTTACCTTTCTTAACCTTTAAGAACACTCTACTAAGAGGAATGCTAGTGAAACTCTTGGGAGCATGCCATTTTGTCAAATCAGGAATCCAAGGAGGAATTGCCTTCTTGTCCTCAATTTGGTCCCAATCGATATCTTTGAAATACTCATGCTCTTTGATGTCACTAATATACTCAGGCCTATCAGCTGGGTGCTTAGAGAGCAGCCAGTTTATCAATTCAACAGTCTCAGAATCCATTTCACTAGGAAATCTTGGTGAAGCATGGACTATTCGCCTATCCAAGTCCCTTTTGTTAGGAGAATGGAAAGGAGGAAAACCTACACTCATTTCATACAGTAAACAACCGAGAGTGTAAAAGTCAACAGAGACAGAGTGCATGTACCCTCAGATCATTTCTGGTGGTAAATACTCAGGTGAACCTCAGAATGTGGTGCTTAATTCATCTAAATCTTGCAATTGTTTTGATAAACCGAAGTCTGCTAGCTTAATATGACCGTCAATATCAATCAAAATATTCTCTGGTTTTAAGTCTCTGTAGATTATATTTTTTGAGTGTATCTTTTCCAGAGCAACTATTACTTCCGCCATATAAAACTTGATCGCTTGTGCATTCAAAGTTCCTTTAGGAAAATGAGTGAGAAGATGAAAAAGAGTTCCGCCAATGCAAGGTTCCATAACAAAGTAAATCTCAGTCTCGGTTTGGAAGGTATAGTTCACTCCTACAATAAATTGTGACCCACTAAGCTTCCTCATAATTTCTGCTTCAGATGTGTATACACTTTTCCTTGTACTGACATAAAGATGATCTTTTTTGATTATTTTTATTGCATATAGTCTTCCGCTATCTTTCTTCCGAGCTAACACTACATTGGCATATCCTCCTCATCCGATAACTTTCAAGAAATGGAAATCATCTTTCCCAATTGGCTGTCGGTATTGATCATTTTCCAAATCATCTCCTTCTTTTAATTTAGCATAATGTACAGCAAGAGTCGTCCCATTTTTAAGTGGCCTGAGTCAATTGTCTAAGAAATTAAGGTAATAATCAAGAGCTGGGAAGCCTTCTATCGTCTTTAACCCGATCAATAGCTTCTTATTTATAAATATTATCCTTATTCTGACCGATTTCTGCTTCAAAATGCTTATCGTACCGCCTAGTAACCTCGCTTAAAAGCCAGCCTACAGTCAAATCAGCGTCTGGTCAGCGAATATCCTCTATTATATTCTTAGCAATCTTAACTCTGATTGTTCTCGCTTTGTTAGACTTAAATTGGTGTCCTAGTCCAGCAATATTAGAAGGAATCAGTGAATTTACGTATTTTATTGTATAGTCACTAGGAATTACATCCAGCGATGCCATTAAACCCATTGGCTCTCAATTTTAATTAAATAGTTTTATTTCTAGATTTTCTTTATTGTAGTCCATTTGAGGGGTTTTGGGGTTTTGGGGTTTTGGGGTTTTGGGG